TCTCTCCCTCAACCTCAGCTGGAGAGGACTCTTTAAAGTAGAGACACTACATACTGATATACACCTGAACATCAGCAGGAGAGGACTCTTTAAAGTAGAGACACTACATACTGATATACACCTGAACATCAGCAGGAGAGGACTCTTTAAAGTAGAGACACTACATACTGATATACACCTGAACATCAGCAGGAGAGGACTCTTTAAAGTAGAGACACTACATACTGATATACACCTGAACATCAGCAGGAGAGGACTCTTTAAAGTAGAGACACTACATACTGATATACACCTGAACATCAGCAGGAGAGGACTCTTTAAAGTAGAGACACTACATACTGATATACACCTGAACATCAGCAGGAGAGGACTCTTTAAAGTACATATTAGTATATTTGGAAGGATATGTTGTACCACCAGAGGCTCAAAATGTAGAATCTCTGAGCTGTTTAAAAGATTAGAAACAACAAGCGTCCACAACTTCAGTGAGGCGTCTCTCAGACTCACCACTCTGGGGTCTGGGCTCTTCTCCAGGAGAGGAATCAGACTCTTGGTGAGAATGTAAACCCCTAATGGACAAAAAACACTTTATTAACAATCTGTTTGTTTTTTCTACCCTTAAAAATATCTCTAGTATCTGCTTTGTTCTACAGCAGAGGAATGAGACTCTTGGTGGGAGGGTAAACCTTTAGTGGACAAAAAAACACTTTATTCATAATTTTTATCTGTATCTCTTCACAATTATTTCTAGAGCTTTCACTCACCGAGGACATTGGTGGCGAAACTCTTCTCCAGACCCTCGGTGTTCACCTCCCTCTCACTCAGGATGGCGCCTGCGTTATTAATCTGCAGAGATGAGAACAGAACATTTAAAATAAATTAATTTAGAAAAAGATGAAGTCAACTGTCTGTCTGAACCTAACCCAACCAACCAACCAACCAACCAACCAACCAACCAATCAATTAATCAGTCAACCAATCAATCAACAAATCAACCGACCAAACAATCAATGAATCAGTCAACCAACCAACCAATCATACAACCAATCAACCGACCAATCATCCAATCAACCAACCAACCAATCAATTAATCGGTCAACCAATCATCCAACCAATCAACCAACCAATCATCCAATCAACCAACCAACCAATCAACCAACCAACCAATCGACCAATCAACCAACCAACCAACCAACCAACCAACAAACCAACCAACCAATCAATCAACCAATCAACCAACCATCCAACCAACAAACCAACCAACCAACCAACCAATCAATCAACCAACGCAATCAACAAATCAACCAACCGACCAACCAACCAACCAATCAATCTATCTTTACATATAGTTATTTTTATATCCAACAGCTACATAAAATGCTTCATAAACCAGAAAAACAAACAAAAGAAAACAAGCCCCTGCCCTTCCAATCCATAAACAGAACAACACATAGATCAATAAACACAGGAATGAACTAAACAATAAATCAAATTCAATTAGAAGCCAAGTTAAAAGAGTGGGTCTCTCACCAGTACGTTGAGGGTCTTGTATTTTCTCTTGAACCCCTCGGCAAACTCCCAGACCTTCTTAGTCTCAGAAAGGTCCAGGATGTGGACGAACACCTCCTGAAAGACATCATCACAGGGGGTTAGATTTATATTTAGCAGAAGTATTAATAACACAGTTTAGAAGTATTAAAATACTGCATTCAAAAGGTAACATTACTAAACTATTAAACACTTCAATATACGTAGAATGCCAAAACTTCAAGTATTCATTATGAAGGATGCCATTTTCGTAATAATAGATACTATAATATATATAATAGATTATTATTATAACTATATTATCATAATAAGTACTGTGTTCTCCATAGAAACATAACGGCAAAGGGTAAGACATTTTATTTGATATGCTATGATGCATAAGAAACTGTAAAGCAGCGGTTTCCCAACCTTTTTCAACTCAGGGCCCACTTAAGAATCTAAAAAGAGTACTTCTTATTTTAATTAGAAAAGGAGCTGGCCATCAGTAACAAACAGACATTTTTATTACACGGTTTAGTTGAATACTCGATTCTGATTGGTCAATTCAGAACATGTGACACATTGGAAATCCAGTAGTACAGACCGCTTTCAAGAACTGTAATGTTATTTGGCGGCCACTTGCAATGCCTTTCGCGGACCACTAGGGGGCCACGGCCCACAGGTTGGGAACCGCTGCTGTAAAGAATGAAGTGTGTTTTTGTAAGGTTTGGCTGTTTTTATAAAGTTTTATGGGCTTTAAATTGTGATTATGCTGGAAACTGTTCATGGAGAGTCAAGTGGACATTTTGAAGGTTGTCAGTCCCCGTGTTTTTTTTAAACGTCTGTCTAGCCGTGAGTCATTCTGTACTTTATTTCCCGTCTCTTTGACGATTTCGGCCCTCGCCTCTTCGGCCTTGTCCTTGTTCCTGCAGACCATGTGGATCGTTCCTCCTGTACAGAGACGGACACATGAATACATGTCATTCATTATTCATCATAGATTTTGGATCTAATTTATCATTATAAAGTCAAATAATGCAACTGCCTTTTTGACATGGTCTTTGCTAGTAAGGCAACTTTCAATAAGTGCAATCAACCGTGAAGACACAAAGTCAAAACAGCAATAATCCTGCAGCTATTGGATTAGCATTATTAGCTTTATTAGCATTACAGGAAAGGCAAGTTTATTCATACAGCACCTTTCAACACAACGCAATTCAAAGTGCTTTACAAAAATGAAAGACATTAAGAAAATGGCATTTCAAAAACGGTCATTAAAAAGCAAAGATAATTAAAAAAAATACATTAATAAAAGCTACAGTGCAGTGTAAGCTGTGAATAGTTCACTTAAAAGCAGTTGCAAAAATCTAATCAAATCAAAATGTGCCCCAAATCACAAGAAATGCCTCAAAGCAAACAAAAGCAAAGACAAAAACAAAATACAAACATCATAGCATAACAATTATAAAACCATTATCCAACATTATACATCAACATGAGTATTGCCATGTGATCAAAGCATGTGACTGAAGGTAATGGAGATGGAAGCTAGTTTACAAGGAAGACAGATGCGAATGAATGGCAAAAAGAAAAGTCTTCAGCCTGGATTTAAAAGTAGTGAGAGTTGCATTATTAGCTAACCTTTCTTAGCGATGTTCATGGCGGTGGCTTTCCCGATGCCGCTGTTAGCTCCCGTTATCATGAAGGAACGTCCGGCTAAAGACGCCTCCAGGTCCTTCTCCACGAAGCTCTTGGAGGCCGACAGGAAGGCGCTCCTGCAGGAGAGAAATAAACAACAACATTTACTGCATTTTATTCAGGTCTGCAAACATGCTTAGTGCGTACACTTTGAATCTCTGCAGCACGAGGGACGACAGGACAACGTTTGTAGTTTGATATTCATGAGATAAGTTATAGTATAGGTAATTTAACATCTCAATATAGTGTTTTTATAGTAATTCAAAATCTTCAAATGCAATCCCCTATTTCATAGTCTTTTCATGTTTCTTTAGACTCCACTTCGAGCGATAGAATTACTAACAGAGCACTTATATACTAATAAAGGACTGGCTTATCTAAAGCCAGTTGAGTAGCACTTGAAATGTTTTGGCTCTATGAAACCTGATGTACTTATATGATTCTGTTTTCTTCAAGTTTGCATCTTCTCGGTCGAACGCACTTATTGTAACTCGCTTTGCATAAAAGCGTCAGCTAAATGCTATGTACTGTAATGTAATGGGACGTTTGAGTTTGTAAATATATAATTAGATTGCACTCAGGATATCTCAATAAAGGATTTTCATCGTGTGTGTGTGTGTGTGTGTGTGTGAGGACTTCAATCCCCCCCATTGTCCTGGATGCCATTGTTGGAATAGAGGGAACTAAATGCCGCTCTGTTCGCTGGTGTCATGCAGCGAGCGATTAGCGGGGTCAGAGCGGGCTACTCTGTGTTAAAAGATAACACAGAACAAAGGGGAGCGGGGAAACAATCACAAAAGCACCTCTTCACACAGCTGGTCCTGTTGTGAACCCATGAGGAAAAGGCTCCGCGGGGAAGAAATGGATCAGATAGGAGACTGATACGATCTTTTGAGGTTGAGAACTGACTTTGTAGTCGAACACGGCTCCTGCTCAGTCACTGGAATGAGTTATTACATTCATTTTTAATATTCAAAGAAGCGCTGCAGCTGTTTTCTGAAGTCTTGAATCATCAACTACCATGCAGTAGAAACATGGAGTTATACTATAATCCCTTTTCAAAGGTCCAGTCCTTACATAACCTTCGACCCTACATGACCTCATATAAGCATCACTACACAACTGGCCCTCATTGGCTGCTTCTTTGGAGGAAAAATATTTGATTAAATTATTTATTTTTGCCTAAAAAGGAGCAGCCCATAATTTCTAGAGTTAAACCAAATAAGTGGAAATCTTTCCAAACTTGTTTGCCTTTGTATGATAGGCATGTCTCAATGGGATGTGAACACATATACAGATAAACGCGTCTTAACATGACCCTTACTTACATTCTTTAGCAGTAAGATTAAATTCACTTAAGCGTGAGTTTCAGCCTGTGTCCTCTTGCCAAGTCGATGGTAATTACACATTTTAATACGGATATATTTAGCTTTGCATGCTACCCTAAGGTGTCAAGCTATTCAGATGAGTTTAATCCCTACAGTTTGAATGAATTAAATCGGAAACAACTACAAAATGTCATCGTTTGATCATTTATTTATTTACATATTATGGTGGTTCGCTTTGGGTGTGTGTGTGTGTGTGTGTGTGTGTGTGTGTGTGTGTGTGTGTGTGTGTGTGTGTGTGTGTGTGTGTGTGTGTGTGTGTGTTTGATAATTTATTTACTTACATATTATATATATTATATTAGTTTTTAAATGCAACGTTTCAAACCATTCACAAACTTTCAAAATGGATCCACAGCTAGTTAAATGACCATATTTGATATTAGTGTTAAGGCTGAAACTATTATAATAACTTTTAATAATCATTTAGTCTGTTAAATGTCAGATGTCAGTTTAAGAGCTCAATGTCTTGTTATCTCAAAGCAACAGCCCAAAAAACGCAAAGATGTTTTATGTAATCTGAAATAAAACAAAGACAAGCGGCAAATGTTCACATTTAAGAAGCTGGAATTCTTCCTTTAAAGAAAAAATTAATTTCAAATGTAACATATTTTGTTGTTGATTTACTGAAGTGACAAATATGTCCAGCAACTTCTCATGCCGGTAACTCTCCTTTGTGAGATTGGATAGTTTAGGCGGGGTTTTGCATAAATCAGTGCCTGTGATGTTGATTTTATTTAGTGTCAGAAATACAAATAAATCACGAGGAAACATCTTCAGTCATCACCCCACAACAATAACATTTTTATGAACAATATAATAGACTTTTCTGTAATGAGAATTATACAAAATAACTCATATTAAGGTATACATAACTTATTGTAGTCAGTTTGCTTTGGTTTGTCTATTTCAAAAGTAATAACCTATTAGTTTATTTAGTAATATAAGTCTGTTTGAGTTGTAGGCTATACTGTAAGTTAGTTGAAATAAACTTAACAAGTTAAAAAAGAATAGCCCATTTATTCCTTAACTTGTTTTCAATATTTGAGTTGCTTGAAGTATACTGTACTTATATTTGTAGAATAATAATAAATACAATGTTTCTTCACACAGAAACCAGTGAGAATAGAACATATTTAAACTCAATTTATTATAGTTTTCATGCTCCCTTTCAAAAAGTAATTGTACCTAATGATAACAACCATAAAACTCAATATTACAGGCTTTTCAAGACCTTTTTACAAATACTGTAATGAAGCCTTTTTCCTACCTGGTGAACTCGGTGAGCCCCTTCACGAACCAGGCGGAGTTTCGGTACAGAGACATGGTGCAGATCCGGGAATGCTCTCTCTCTGCCGGCCTCTCCGCGGGGCTTTTACCCGGGACCAGAACCACGTGGAGCTGGATTTACATCAGGGGGGGCGACACCCTCTTATTATACATCCATGCGACACCCCCACAGACCCCTAGCGGCAGGAAGGAAGAGGTTCAGTTTGTTAATGATTGAAATACAGCAAGTTATACATCATCATTATTAGGTGAGAACAGCTGGAAATGAACAATGTTGGCTAAAGCTGCACCATGTACTGCTCTTTGTGACAGTTGATCCATGGGGACAAGTCCACGACACTAGTTTTGAACTAAATCATTAGTAGGTAATCTTTTAAAAACGGATCTAAATGTAAAAAATAGCCCAATAGAAAAGTGGTGAAAGTACAGATTTGTTGAGTGGGTATTGGGCTATTTCAAAAGAGTGCCACTTTTATGACTTGTTTGCACTTTTGGATATTAAAAGATCTGCAGCACTCTCAGTCCAACAATGGAAAAAGTGTTTTTGTTGTTTTTGTTCGACATTAAAATAATTTCCAATATATTTAGAGAGTTCAGTCCTCCACAGCAGGTTCACCCATCTGTGGGAGTCGGGGGCGCGCAGCGGGGGCGCGGCTCCGCCTGGAGAATGTGTGGGAGCGCGCGCTGCTTTCTGGGAGCTATGAACTCGACAGCAGCGCGAGAGGACTGCAGGGTGTTGAAATAAATCACAAACCTGAAGGATTTTACATCTCAGGTGACAGGATGGTGAGTACCCGAGCTCTCTGCAGTAGTTACCGCGTGCACCTGTCCGCGAGGCAAAGTGTCCTGCAGAGCGATCACTTTCTGACAGAGAAACACTGTGTGAGGCTACTTCCTAGATCAAAGCTCGCTTAATTCCTGATTTCCCTACGTGTAAAAGGTGGAGAACACGCAGGAAAGTTAGTCAGAATGATCACATTTCATTATATAGCGAGCTCTGAGTGTTGCGTCTGACATGCGAATGGATGCAAGTCTCCAAACACTGCAGGACATTACATGTGTTTTAGATGCCAGAGTTGCACTTGAACAGTGTTTCTACACTGTGGTATTACTACTTCTACTTGAGTAAAAAGGCTAGTCGAGTAGTTGTTCGATCTCTGTTAGAAACATATAATGTTCATGTTTTGACAGCAACACTAAACATCTGGGCGGAGAGCTCTCATTAGTTTTGTTGCGCAACACACTGAGTTTCTGTGATTGCAGACGGTTCAACTCCCTGCTGATGTTTCTGCATGTTGAGAAATCTAACAGCGACCTCACAGTGTGCCTTACTTTGGCTTCAGGCAGCTCAATGTGGGAGTGTTATTCTGCGTGTGTGTGTGTGTGTGTGTGTGTGTGTGTGTGTGTGTGTGTGTGTGTGTGTGTGTGTGTGTGTGTGTGTGTGTGTGTGTGTGTGTGTGTGTGTGTGTGTGTGTGTGTGTGTGTGTGTGTGTGTGTGTGTGTGTGTGTGTGTGTGTGTGTGCCTGTGTTTGAGAGAGAGAGAGTGTGTGT